ACAGAGGCGTACCTACACATCCCCATCCACCCCAGCTACCGGACATTCCTCAGATTTACCTACGCGGGGCGACATTACCAGTACAGGGCATTACCCTTCGAACTGTCGTCAGCACCAAGGGTATTCACAAAGATCTTAGCTGTACTAGCGGCCCATCTCAGGTTGATCCCGGTTCGCGTCCAGTTTTATCTGGACGACATCTTGATCCAGTCCAGATCTCGGGAACAAGCAAGGGCAGATCTCAAGACCACAATCCGAACCCTGCAGGGGCACGGATTCTCGGTCAATCTAAACAAGAGCCACCTCATTCCCTCAAGGAGACTGCAACACCTGGGCGCGGTGATAGACACGTCACAGTGCAGGGTATTCCTTTCCCAGGAGAGACTGATCAGCATATCCAAGCTAATCCACCAAATTCAAAGGATCAGGAGAGTGCCCTTGCTACAACTCTCGAAGCTCCTGGGGAAGATGATATCTTGCATGGGCATCATCCCATGGGCCAGGCTACACTCGAGGGAGTTGCAGTGGTTCCTCCTACCCTACCAGAGGAGGAACCTCAGCACCTCCAACAGGAGTGTGCTGGTACCAGCACAGGTGATGAAATCACTAAAATGGTGGCTATCCCCCACGACACTCAAGGGGAGCATAGTCAGGGAACCGAACAGGGTCACACTCAGGACAGACGCGAGCCTGTTCGGATGGGGAGCGCACCTGGGAACCCAGATAGCACAGGGCCAGTGGGGACAGAAGGACCTGTCACACAGCATCAACTGGCTAGAGCTCCGGGCCATACACCTGGCCCTCCGCCATTTCTCACACCTAGTAACGAGGAGGCACGTCCTCGTACTAACAGACAACGTAGCAGCCAAGGCACACGTAAACAAGGAGGGAGGAACGAGATCAGTGGAACTAATGAAAGAAGCATTGGCTCTGGCTCGGTGGGCAGAAGCCAATGTGAGTTCCATCAGAGCGGAACAAATCTCAGGGGAGACAAACACCCAGGCAGACTCCCTGAGCAGAGCCAAGGTGGACCAGTCGGAATGGCGTCTGGACACGGCTCTCTTCGAGGAGATCTCCCGGAGGTTCGGACAACCGCACCTAGATCTATTTGCCAACCACAAGAACACACAACTCCCCAGGTTCTTCTCCAGATTCCCGTCCCCGGGATCGGAGGGAACGGATGCTCTCAGGTGCCGGTGGCCGGCGCAACTCCTGTACGCCTTCCCACCGCTGCCACTAATACCGGCAACCATACGCAAGATGATCGTGGAGGGCGCAGAAATGGTCTGCATTGCCCCTCACTGGCCACGGCGCCCGTGGTTTGCCGACCTCGTGGACCTTTCGATATCACCTCCGTGGAGGATTCCCCGGACAGGGTAAAACTCAGTCAGGGCAAGCTCGTACACCCAGACCCCCAGTGGCTACATCTAGCCGCTTGGCATTTGAGTGGCAAAGCTTAACTAAACAATCTTATTCTGCAGGGGTGATATCGATCATACAGGCATCACGAAGAGCGTCCACTAATAGGATTTACGACGCTACATGGAAGGGATTTTGTAGGTGGTGCGCTTCGCTTCACCTAGACCCGACCGCAGTATCTATCCCTAATATCCTAGATTACCTATTGGAGGGTCTTAATAAGGGCCTGTCAGTCAATACTATCCGCAGACAGATAGTGGCCCTCTCAACTGTACTCTCCTGCGACAACTTAACTTCCCTAGCACAACATCCAGCGATTAGTGCCTTTTTAAAAGGGGCATCTAACACAAAGCCCCCAGTCATACACAGGTACCCGTCCTGGAACCTGCCTAAGGTCCTTCTAGCCTTGACATCAGCACCCTTTGAACCTCTTGAAACATGCTCACTCCATCACCTATCACTGAAGGTAGCTTTCCTTGTGGCAATTACTTCAGCAAGGAGAATCTCAGAACTAGCAGCACTGTCAGTAAGGAAGGATCTGTGTACCTTTTTCAAAGACAGGGTCGTTCTTAGACCAGACCCGACCTTCATTCCGAAGGTAAATAGCATCTTTCACAGATCTCAGGAACTTACGCTTCCTGATTTCTGTCCAAGACCCAAACATAGGCTAGAACACAGATGGCACAAGCTAGACGTACGGAGAGCACTGTGTTTCTACGTGAAACGCACCTCGGCTTTCCGAAAGACTGAAGCATTATTTGTGTCCTTTCAGCCATCAACTATGGGAAAGAAGGTATCTTCTTCCACCATAGGCAGGTGGATCAGAGCCTGCATAGCGCAGGCCTACGTCTCACAGGATTTGCCAGCACCCACTCAGGTGACTGCACACTCAACTCGGAGCGCAGCCACATCTGCGGCGTGGCTAACGCAAGCTCCGGTGGAAGAGATTTGCAGGGCCGCAACCTGGTCCTCACCTTCGGTTTTCATTCGACACTACCGTTTAGACTCCCTAGCAGCAGCAGAAGCGGCTTTTGGCAGAAGAGTTCTTCAACAGGTCGTATCTGCTCAGAGTTCGGTAGCCTAGACATTCCCTCCCAGGGGGACATGAGGGCTTTGGTATGTCCCATCCATTTGGACTCTACAGTCATCCTGCTGGAGAAGGGGCGTTGTCTTACCTGAACGCCTTTTCTCAGCAGGATGATGTAGAGTCCAAGCCCACCCAGAGGATAGGTCTAGGCAGGGATATAATAAAGATATAATAAAGAGCTGCAATGTTAATTCCAACAAAGTTTCTCGCCTAAGTCAAAACTGGGGTCACGCCCAAAGGAAGGGGTGTGGCCGAAGTTTTTACCCAGTCTGCCAGGCAGGAAGGCCGTCATAGAACCCATCCATTTGGACTCTACATCATCCTGCTGAGAAAAGGCGTTCAGGTAAGACAACGCCCCTTTGACACGGGGAAAAAAAGGGATCCCCTGGAGCACGCAGCCCTTAAAGCCTCTCATTTTGACCCGATTGCCACGAGCCACGAAAGACACCGCTTCACACAACCTTGCTTTGGTTCCCTTTCCCACCCGTCACAAAATACGTCCAGATCCCAGCAAATGGGCCTCCTCTTTTGATACGGCGGCCCGGCTGAAGGACGGCGCAAATATTCCCTTTAAAAATATCCTTCGGATCCCAGTTGGCCCTTTTGGCATGGTGGTTAGTTCTTTCCGCCCGCCTTGCTCTCTATCTGAACACGCTTTTAAGTGAGGTCAGCAACTCAAGTGTGGGGATTTATCGGATTTATTTATCCTCCTCCTCCTTCTTCATCTTCTTTTCTCTCTCTCTCTCTCTCTCTCTCTCTCTCTCTCTCTCTCTCTCTCTCTCTCTCTCTCTCTCTCTCTCTCTCTCTCTCTCTCCCTCCTTTCCAGATTGTCTTTCTGCTCGGCTTGCTCCATCTGTCACCGGGTGACGCTTCGCTCACTGTGGGCCAAGCTATAAACAAGCAGATCCGTGTTCTTTCCTGGCAGCCCATATATTAGGCGCTAGTTAAAGACCGGCCATGTTATTTAGCCAGGACCTTCTGCCTTCTGAGGGACGTGATCTGGAAGGTGCAGGGAACAGATTGGGGAAGCGGCTTCTGGACAGCTCTTCTTCTCCCCCCCCCAAGCTGGCGCCCTCCAGATGTGCATGAGCTTCTGGCCGCTTGGGCTGATGTTGTCCCCCAGGCATCAGGAAGAGTCTGGGGTGGGGAAGATGGCTGCGCATTTACAGGCCATTTCTCTTGGCTGGGGGAGGTTTCCTAATGGCTGTAGCTCTCACAAGGTGTGGAAGAAGAGCAGGGTAGGCACGAATACCCTTGGGGTGGGAATTAGATGAGAAATCATCATCATCATCATCATCCTAGGTCCTTGGGAAGGACTCGATAGGTAGACAAAATGCCAAATCCAGTCTGAACATCTGACTGACTGTGCGATGATCCGTAATAGTAGTGGTAGTAGTAGTAGTAGTAGTAGTAGTAGTAGTAGTGATCCGTAGTAGTAGTAGTAGTAGAAGAAGAAGAAGAGAAGAAGAAGAAGAAGAGGAAGAAGAGGAAGAGGATGATGATGATTTGGAAGGGACCTTGGAGTTCACCTAGTCCAACCCCCTGCTCAGCCAGGAAACCCTATACCATTTCAGACAAATGGCTGTCCAGTCTCTTCTTGAAAACCTCCACTGTTGGAGCGCCAACAGCTTCTGCCTGTAAGCTGTTCTACTCATTAATTGTTCTCACTATCAGGAAGTTTCTCTTTAGTTCTAGGTTGCTTCTCTCCTTGATTAGTTTCCATCCATTGCTTCTTCTTCTGCCTTGCAGCCCTTTGGAGAAGAGCTTGACTCCCTCTTCTTTGGGGCAGCCCCTGAGATACTGGAAAGCTGCTATCATGTCCCCCCTGGTCCTTCTCTTCATTAAACCAGACATACCCAATTCCTGCAACTGTTCTTCATATGTGTGTGTGTGTGTGTGTATATGTGTGTGTATATATATATATATATATACACACACACACACACACACACACACACACACACACACACACACACACACACACACATGATCCTGTCCATGTAGTTGTCTGGACTCCAGACTGATTTTAAAGATATGTATGTATGTAAGTGTGTATGTATGTTTATGTATGTATGTATGTGTGTAATATCAACTATTCTATTCTATTCTATTCTATTCTATTCTATTCTATTCTATTCTATTCTATTCTATTCTATTCTATTCTATATTCTATTCTTCCATTCCATATTTTCTATTCTATATTCTATTCTATTCTGTTGCATTCCATTCTATTCTATTCTGTTTCATTCCATTTCTATTCTATTTCTATTCTATTCTATTCTATTCTATTTCTTATTCTATATTCTGCTCTATTCTATTCTATTCTATTCTATTCTATTCTATTCTATTCTATTCTATTCTATTCTATATCTGTTCTATTTTATATCTGTTCTGTTCTGTTCCATTCCATTCTGATCCCTTCCAGCCTAGAATTCTTTGATAGCAACTGTTTCTGATCCTGCTGTTTACGCTGCCCTTTTGTCCTACCTGGCAGGGAGGCAGACGAGGGCTGCAAGAAGCCCTTGGAACGGCTGCTGAACATCTGGCAGGAGAGGAGCGTGTATGGCGGCGAGTTCATACAGCAGCTGAAACTGTCCATGGAGGACTCCAATAGCCCCCAACCCAAAGGTAAATAAAACCCTGCGCCCCTTTTCCCAGAACTCTTTGGGTTACAGGGGGTCCTCGACTCACAACGATTCGTTTAGGGACTGTTCGAAGCTGCAACGAGTGTCTTACGACCGTTTTCTACACTTAATAACCGCTGCATCATTCTCCCCCCCCCATAGTCACAGGATCAAAATCCAGGCACTTGGCAACTGACTCACATTTATGATGGATGCAGAGTCCCGGGGTCGTGTGATCCCCTTTTGGGACCGCCTGACAAGCAAAGATTCATTTAACAACCGGGTTACTCCACAAACTACAATAATTAGTTGCCCTTCTCTGACGATGTTACCCAATTTGGGTAATGTAAGGTCTATAACAGTGGTTCTCAACCTGTGGGTCGGGACCCCATTTGGGGTCGAATGACCATTTCACGGGGGTCGCCAAACCACGCTGTCCGCCATTTTTTTCCCTTTTCCCTAGCTGTCCTACTCCCTCTTATTGATGGCCACACCCACTTGGGGGTCACCACAACATGGGGAACTGTATTATGGGGTCACGGTATTAGAAAGGTTGAGAACCACTGGTCTATAAGAAAAAAGCTCAGAGAGCACCAAGGGTCCCTTACGGCAGGGGTCCCCAACCCCCCCCCCCCCAGTGTGTGGACCGCTACCGGGCCACGGCACGCCAGCAACCGGTCCACACAAGCAAGCAAAGCCCCCTCCGTGGGATGCAGGCAGCACACAAAACCATGCAGCCTCCGGTCGGTGGAAAAACCTCTCTGCACAGAACTGGCCCCTGGTGCCCCAAAGGTTGGGGGCCTCTGCCTCGCGGGAAAGGCTGGTCCGGAAGGATGCCTGCTATGGATCTGCGTTCTCCAGAAACGAGGAGCAATGGGGTGCTTTGCAGATGCATTGCCCTCCACGGCGCCTCCATCGATGCTGGAGAGAGAGCATGGCTGGCCTTGGAACAGTGACGGCGAACCTTTTAGAGACCGAGGGCCCAAACTGTAACCCAAAACCCACTCACGCATCGTCGGGTGCCGGGTGGACGTGGTCCATTGGGTGGGCGTGGCTGCGGTGGTAACGGCAGACTGGGTGGAACTATTTATTTATTATTTATTTATTTATGAGACTTATATACCGCTTTAAGTGCAAGCACTCTCTAAGCGGTGTACACCAGTAAGCAATGTATATATATATATATATATATATATATATATATATATATATATATATATATATATAATATATATATTATATATATATTTACATTGCCCCCAACAATCTGGGTCCTCATTTTACCTACCCCGGAAGGATGGAAGGCTGAGTCAACCTTGAGCCGGTGAGATTTGAACCGCTGACCTGCTGAACACAGTCAGCTAAAGTGGCCTGCAGTATTGCACTCTAACTGCTGCGCCACCTCGGCTTAAAATGTTCAATCAATTCCAACTTCGCAAGATCTTTTTTTCCCCCGCGAGAAGTTGAAATTGACTGATTGATTGAACCTTTTTTTTGCACACAGCGGCGGTGGGGGCCTAAAGCGAACAGGTTTTATAAAACCCAGCTGAAGGCCCGGGGACTGGGGCAACGGCGCGCGTGCCCACAGAGAGGGCTCTGAGTGCCGCCTCTGGCACCCGCGCCATAGGTTCGCCACCACTGCCTTAGAACATCTGGCTTCCCCTTTTGCTTGGTGCTCTGGAAGGCAGCCAGGCGCGCCGAATCCCTTTGCAGAGGGTGGCAGCGGATGCTCCCTGACCAGCTGGTGCTCCATCTTCCCTCCGTGCCGCCAGCTGCCGCTGCTGTGGCGGCTTCTCTTCCAGGCCTGGTTCCTGGCATCCCTTCCCCTGCAGCTGCCAGCCATCTGCCTTTACCTTGACGCCTGCCAAAGCGTCCAAATTCTCACGGGTTTGTGGGGTGTGGGGGGCAGGATGGAGTTGCATCCTGCATAATCTTTGAATAATGACGGGAAGACTCACTTACTGGTTTCTCTGGGATAGCCAGCTCCTGCGGGGTGGTGTCTTGCTGGCTCCCATCGTGGGCGGGCTCACAGGGAGCCGCAGTCACCATTAACGCCAGGCAGCGTTGCCTAGCGGTTTCGAGCAGGGGGGATTTTGAGACCCTTCTGCTCTTTCCCCTCTTGAGGGTGTCCAGAGCTAAAATGAGGACTTAAAGTTAAAGACAGCTGGTCCTCCCTCTCTTTGTCTCTCCCACTCCGCACTGCCCAGCCCCGGACCAGCTGGGTCCTGCTCACCTGCACAGGTGAATCTAAACAGGGAGGGGAAGGCCAGCGGTCTATTTGATGGGGCTGGGCAGAGGCCTTTTTGACCTGGCCTGGTCTGGACTTTTGGCCGTGGGAGCTGTCTGATCTCCTATTGAAAGGATCCCAGAGCCCTCGTTAGCTTTGGTTTTGGCTGAGAACGATGTATAAACCCAGCTAGTTGTGACTTACTGAAACTGTGGCTTGAAACTCAGGTTGTGCAGTGTGGGCTTGCTTTTCAAGTAGAGCAGTGTGGATATGTGCTTCTGATGCTTGACTTGTCTTCCATGGGAGCAGTAAATATCTGTGCTTTGACTTAACCTTTCTCCTTCCTTCCTTCCTTCCTGCCTGCCTGCCTATCTATCTATCTTTTTTTTTTAAAGAAAATTTTATTAAATTTATATAGGTGAGGAAAAATAGGAAGAATACAGGTATGGTAAAGGGAGGGGTAGAAGGAAAGGGAGAGGGGAAGGAAATAAGGAATTAGGGTAAAATAAGGATAGGTACAATCACATATGTCAACAAACAAGCAACCGTCCGGTTCATAATAATGAGTAAGTATCATATTCAACCATTTTTAACAAACTGTAACATATTAAAAATAATTAGTAAACAAATGCATTGATCTATTAAGTAAACACTACTAATAAAATCACAAAAAATATAAATAAATCCTAATAATCAAAAGTAACAAATGAAAATCAGTAAATCAGGAAAAGTAATCGTATCATCACAATGTTAATTAGAACTTGATTAAAAATCAGTCATCTATTCTAAAATATTAAATCCTTCAAGTTCTAACGTGTCTCTAACCATCTATCTGTCTTCATCCATCCCGTCTGTATGTATCCATTCATCTCCATCCATCCATCCACCCACCTATCTACCTACCTACTTACCTATCTATCTACAATATCTCTATCTTTGTCTGTCTGTCTATCTATCATCTATCTATCTATCCATCCATATCTATCTATCTAATCTATCTGTCTATCTATCTATCTATCCATATCTATCTATCTAATCTATCTATCTATCTATCTATCTATCTATCTAATCTATCTTTATCTGTCTGTCTATCTATCTATCTATCTATCTATCTATCTATCTATCTATCTATCTATCTATCTATCTATCTATCTATCTATCTATCTATCCACCCCTACCTATCTATGTATCTATGTATGTATGTATGTATGTATGTATGTAGGTCTTTGGTTGTTCGGGTTTTCTCCCGCGTATGTATGTATGTATCTATCTATCTATCTATCTTCATCCATCCATCCCATCTGTCTATGTATCAATCCATCCCCATCCATCTATCTCTGTCCGTCCGTCCATCTACCTACCTACCTACCTTCCTATCTGAACCATGTTTCGACGCCTTTCCTGAACTCCAGGAGAAAGGGGGGGGGGCTGCTTACCTGTGTGAGAGAGTTCCACAGGGCAGAAATCTGCCTGTCACCTGCTTGTATAATGGGCAGGACACCCGTGCCAGGCTTGTATTCCTGCCCTGGGCAGGGGGTTGGGCTAGAAGACCTCCAAGGTCCCTTCCAGCCCTAGGAGTCTAGGGAAGTTGCACAGCACAAGCCACTGCTGGGGGAGTTTCTGGTGTTTCTGGATATGCGTGAGCCCCGGGGCTCTTTGCAGTGGTGGGCTTGCTGCTGGGTTGAAGGGAACCCCGAGGAACAGAAGCGGCCTGTCTTGGGGTGCGGGTGGGGTGGGGGAGTAGGCTGTATCGTGGGCAGTCTGTTACCTTGCAGGTCCACCAGCCCCCTGGTCGATGAACTGTTTGGGATGGACTGGGCGTACTTTTGGGTCTGTGTGTGTGTGTGTGTGTGTGTGCTTCTTTTGCAATTGTACCCATTTTGATTTTGCAAAGACCAAAAAGGCCGCTTTCCCCTGCCTCAGTTACAGAGGAGAAGAAGTCCCTGAAGAGGACGTTTCAGCAGATGCAGGAAGAGGAGGACGATGACTACCCTGGAGGCTACTCCCCACAGGACGCCAACGCCGGGCCCCTCCTGGTAGGCTGGGAAGGGGGGAGCCCCTCGGGGAGAAAGGAGCCAGGAGCCGCCACCAGGGGGCGACCTTAGCGAGCGCAGCAGGACGGAGGATGAGTGGATCGCTTTCCTTCCATTCCACTGCCTTCCTCTCTCTCTCTCTTTCCTTCTTTCTCCTTCTCTCTCTCTCTCTCTTTTTCTTTCTTTTTTCTCCTTTCTCTCTCTCCCCTCTTTCTCTTTCTTTCTCTCTTTCTTTCTCTCTCTCTTTTTCTCCTTTTCTCTCTCCCTCCCCTCTCTTTCTCTCTCTCTCTTTTTCTCCTTTTCTCTCTCTCCCCTCTCTCTCTTTTTCTTTCTCTCTTTTTCTCCTTTCTCTCCCCTCTCTTTCTCTTTCTTTCTCTCTTTCTTTCTCTCTCTCTTTTTCTCCTTTTCTCTCTCCCTCCCCTCTCTTTCTCTTTCTCTCTTTTTCTCCTTTTCTCTCTCTCCCCTCTGTCTCTCTTTTTCTTTCTCTCTTTTTCTCCTTTCTCTCTCTCCCTCCCCCCACTCTCTCTTTCTCTTTCTTTCTCTCTCTCTTTTTCTCCTTTTCTCTCTCTCTCTCTCTCTCCCTGACTTTTTTCTCCTTTCTCTCTCTCCCTCCCCCCTCTCTCTCTTTCTCTTTCTTTCTCTTTCTCTCTCTCTTTTTCTCCTTTTCTCTCTCTCCCCTCTATCTCTTTTTCTTTCTCTCTTTTTCTTTCTCTCCCTCCCCTCTCTTTCTCTCTCACTCTCTTTCTCTTTCTTTCTCTCTCTCTTTTTCTCCTTTTCTCTCTCTCTCCCCTCTGTCTCTCTTTTTCTTTCTCTCTTTTTCTCCTTTCTCTCTCTCCTCTCTCTTTCTCTTTCTTTCTCTCTTTCTTTCTCTCTCTCTTTTTCTCCTTTTCTCTCTCTCTCTCTCTCTCTCTTTCTCTCTTTTTCTCCTTTTCTCTCTCCCTCCCCTCTCTTTCTCTCTCTCTCTTTTTCTCCTTTTCTCTCTCTCTCTCCTCTCTCTTTCTCTTTCTTTCTCTCTTTCTTTCTCTCTCTCTTTTTCTCCTTTTCTCTCTCCCTCCCCTCTCTTTCTCTTTCTCTCTTTCTCTCTCTCTCTTTTTCTCCTTTTCTCTCTCTCTCTCTTTTTCTCCTTTTCTCTCTCCCTCTCCTCTCTTTCTCTCTTTTTCTTTCTCTCTTTTTCTCCTTTCTCTCTCTCCTCTCTCTTTCTCTTTCTTTCTCTCTTTCTTTCTCTCTCTCTTTTTCTCCTTTTCTCTCTCCCTCCCCTCTCTTTCTCTTTCTCTCTTTTTCTCTCTCTCCCCTCTGTCTCTCTTTTTCTTTGTCTCTTTTTCTCCTTTCTCTCTCTCCCTCCCCCCACTCTCTCTTTCTCTTTCTTTCTCTCTTTTTCTCCTTTTCTCTCTCTCTCTCTCTCTCTCTCTCTCTCCCTGACTTTTTTCTTTCTTTTTTCTCCTTTCTCTCTCTCTTTCTCTTTCTTTCTCTTTCTCTCTCTCTTTTTCTCCTTTTCTCTCTCTCCCCTCTATCTCTTTTTCTTTCTCTCTTTTTCTCCTTTTCTCTCTCTCTCTCCCCTCTGTCTCTCTTTTTCTTTCTCTCTTTTTCTCCTTTCTCTCTCTCCTCTCTCTTTCTCTTTCTTTCTCTCTTTCTTTCTCTCTCTCTTTTTCTCCTTTTCTCTCTCCCTCCCCTCTCTTTCTCTTTCTCTCTTTCTCTCTCTCTCCCCTCTGTCTCTCTTTTTCTTTGTCTCTTTTTCTCCTTTCTCTCTCTCCCTCCCCCCACTCTCTCTTTCTCTTTCTTTCTCTCTCTCTTTTTCTCCTTTTCTCTCTCTCTCTCTCTCTCTCTCTCTCTCTCTCCCTGACTTTTTTCTTTCTTTTTTCTCCTTTCTCTCTCTCTTTCTCTTTCTTTCTCTTTCTCTCTCTCTTTTTCTCCTTTTCTCTCTCTCCCCTCTATCTCTTTTTCTTTCTCTCTTTTTCTCCTCTCTCCCTTCCCTCTCTTTCTCTCTCACTCTCTTTCTTTCTCTCTCTCTTTTTCTCCTTTTCTCTCTCTCTCTCCCCTCTGTCTCTCTTTTTCTTTCTCTTTTTCTCCTTTCTCTCTCTCCCTCCCCCCACTCTTTCTCTTTCTTTCTCTCTCTCTTTTTCTCCTTTTCTCTCTCTCTCTCTCTCTCTCCCTGACTTTTTTCTTTCTTTTTTCTCCTTTCTCTCTCTCCCTCCCCCCCTCTCTCTCTCTTTCTCTTTCTTTCTCTTTCTCTCTCTCTCCCCTCTGTCTCTCTCTCCCCTCTATCTCTTTTTCTTTCTCTCTTTTTCTCCTTTCTCTCCCTCCCCTCTTTCTCTCTCACTCTCTTTCTCTTTCTCTCTCTCTTTTTCTCCTTTTCTCTCTCTCTCTCTCTCCCCTCTGTCTCTTTTTCTTTCTCTTTTTCTCCTTTCTCTCCCTCCCCCCTCTCTCTCTCTCCTTTCTCTCTCTTTCTTTCTCTCTCTCCTTTTCTCTCTCTCACTTTCTCTCACTTTCTTTTCCTCTCTTTCTCTCTCCCTTCCCCCCCCCCTCTCGTGCCACCTGGGTGGTTGGACTTCCGTTCCCATAATTTCTCAGCCAGGGTTGGGCCTTGCAGCTGATGGGGAGTAAAGAGGAGTTGGCTGGAGACCCCTGGAGGGTAGTGGAGATGGGAGAAAGTGCTCTACTTGCTCCAAGCCCTTTAATGGAGGGCTTATTGCATGACCTCTCTCCACACTCCAGATAACTAGACAGACAGATGAAGCAGGTGATTAGAGAGATAGATGGCAAATAAAAGATAGAGAGAGAGAGATAAATAAGATGATAGTCAGTCGGGAGAGGTATTTAATTAGCTATAGAGATGATAAAGATAAATATAGAGATGGATGGATAGATGGACGGACGGACGGACAGACAGACAGATAGATAGATACAATAGATCAGTGGTTCCCAACTTTTAAATGTCGCGACCCCCCCCCAAACCGGTCGTAAGTCGAGGACTACTCAACCGGTCGTAAGTCGAGGACTACTCAACTGGTGCAGCACCGTTTGCAGAATGGGACTTTTGGCGGGCTCAGCAGGGCAGAGACAGCCTGGACAATTCCTATTGGCTTTGGAAAGCCAATAGAATTAGACTCTATTCAAGAGAGTCTATTCTATTGGCTTTCAAAAGCCAACAGAATAAAAGGGAGTAGCACAGCTAAGGAAAAGGGGGAAAAAATGGCGGACTGCGTTGTTTGGTGACCCCCGTGAAATGGTCGTTCGACCCCAAATGGGGTCCCGACCCACAGGTTGAGAACCACTGCAATAGATAGATACAATAGATGGATGGATGCATGGATTCATCTTCCCTATGTGGTTAGATTAGGTAGGTAGGAAGAAAGAGAGACAGACAAATAGATAACCAGATAGGCAGGCAGAGATAGATGAGAGAGAGAGAGAGAGATTTGATATAGAGATGGAGATAGAGAAGGTAGGTGACTGGAGACAGAGAGGCAGACCGATGTGAGGCTCTATTGTAAACCAGCCGGGCGTGATGTGCATTCTGGGAAGCACATCCTGCTTTTTCTTCTGCTGAGCCTCTGGACCACCTGCTTTTGGTTGCCTCAGGCCTTCAGGGTGGGGGGGGGGTGCTTTGCAAGGGCTGACTGTGTTCCAGAAGACCAATTGTGGGAAGCTGCCACCTGGGCGAGCATTGAGGGCAGCGGAGCTCCATCCCTGGCATGTCTCAGAGGGCCGAGTTTCAAGACCTGGCCGGATAGGCCCAGCCATCTACCTCTTGCTGGCCTGCCTACCCGCCTGCACTGCCTTTCCTGGCACATCTGCACCTTGCAGGGTGACTTTAACCCACAGTGGCCTCGTGGCATGCCTCCCCTTAACAGGGCAAAGAGTTTGTCTTTTCGTTGAGCAGAAGAACAGCTTTCTTCGGCTCCCGGCTTGGCTGCAGCGTCTCATGGTTCCAATAGTTGAGACCCGTAAAAACAGAACTCCAAGGCAAAATGCTTTTCTTAAAGCAGAATTCTCCAACCTTTCCGGACTCGCGGCCCAGAGGGGAGAGCAGCTTCCAAATTACTGCTTGTGCACACACATGCATGGACGCAAAAAGGGCCACGCCCACTGGCACAGGACTAGCAGCCGTGTTCAGGCCTGCACAAATGGGCCACACATACACACACACCATGCTAGCGGCCCATTCATGCACGCACAAATGGGGCGCGCAGGCCCCCCTGCGCTAGTGTTCCCATTTGCACCCGCACGCATGCACAAATGGCTGTGGGCGCTAGAGCGAGTGGGGGGAATGCGCGCCCACGCGTGCCCGCCCTGGCCAGCCATTTCTGCGGCCTGCTGGCCAAGAGCCCACAACCCGGTACCGGCCCATAGGTTGGGGACCCCTGCCTTAAAGAACATATTTATTTGGCTACACGGTATGGGGCATGATCAAAAGTGAAACCAAAACTGGAGTTCCCTCAGAGGTCACAATGTTACAAAGTTGAACTTCCCAGCCCAGTAAGGTGTCATAAATCACATTCCCCAATTAACTACTTGAGCGGGTTTTCTAACCCAGTGTTTCCCAAACTTGACAATTTTAAGGCATGAGGAATTCAACTCCCAGAATTCCACAGCCAGCATTGCTGGCTGTGGAATTCTGGGAGTTGAAGTCCTCATGCCTTAAAATTGTCAAGTTTGGGAAACACTGTTCTAACCTGAAGCTTCAGCTTGCCGAAACAGAATCAGCAATGACCTTGGTTCCCACGGAACAATTTATTGTTTTGACTAAGACTAAAAAATACTCATCCCTCCCCCTCCCAACTCTGTGGCATTTGAAAAGGAAGGGGAAATGGCTTCAGCCCAATTCGTTTGCAGAGTTGACCCAGTGCCCAAGATCTTTGGGAGAGGGGCCGTGGGGAAGCCCCGGCGCCCATCTTTCCCTGTCTTCCCCCGGGCAGGCCGAGGACCTGATCAAGGCCCTGCAGGACTTGGAGAACGCGGCCTCGGGCGATGCCACCGTGCGGCAGAAGATCGCCTCTCTTCCTCAGGAGGTTCAGGACGTGTCGCTGCTGGAGAAGATCACAGGTCAGCCACTCTCCTCCCGGGGCCAAAACCGCTCGGCTGAGCGGAAACCGAATCGGGGTCTAAGACAGGGGTCCCCAGCCGTGCCAACGTTAAGACTGGTGGACTTTGACTCCCAGAATTCCTCAGCCACCTCCAAGGTCCCTTCCAACTCTCTTATTCTCTGAATTTATGTCTGAAATGGGGTAGGGTTTCCTGCCTGAGCAGGGGGTTGGACTAGATGACCTCCAGGGTCCCTTCCAACTCTGTTATTCTCTTCTGTTCTAGATAAATATATATGAGAATATATTTTTAAGAGGAGACTGGACAGCCCTTTGTCTGAAATGGGATAGGGTTTCCTGCCTGAGCAGGGGGTTGGACTAGATGACCTCCAAGGTCCCTTCCAACTTTATTATTATTTATTATGAAGAGACTGGACAACCCTTTGTCTGAAATGGGATAGGGTTTCCTGCCTGAGCAGGGGGTTGGACTAGATGACCGCCAAGATCCCTTCCAACTTTGTTGTTGTTATTATTGTTGTTGTTGTTACTATTATTATTATTATTATTAAATAACCATGGCGAACTCGACTTACAGCTGAGTTAATAACAGTCCGTCACAAGGGCACTGACAAAAAAGTCATTTATGACCGTTTTCCACCCTTAAGACCATCATGTTGTTCCCCGTAGTCACGTGACCAAATCCAGGGGCTCGGCAGCCACATTGCATGTACCACGGTTGCAGCCTGCAAGTGTCACGTGATTGCCACATGTGACACACACCCCCCAGCTGGCTTCTGACAAGCAAAGCTCTTGATAGTCACATACTTTACTTAACAACTGCAGCAACTGGCTTAAGAACTGTGGCGTAAAGGTCGTAAAATGGGGTAAAATTTAATTGCCTTGTTTAACAACGGACATTTTGAGCTCAGTTGTCGTAAGTCAAGGACTACCTGTGGTTTATAGATGGTCCTCCAAGTAAGAGGCCCTTCTTCGTGGTCCCACCAGGTGGACCTCCTTAAGTGAGGGGATCCATAACATCCTTTGTCTGCCCACTCAGGTGGGTTGGATAAATTTAGCTGGGAAAAGATGGTCCTTCAAATAAGAGGGAGGGGGCCACCACGGAGAAGGCCCTTCTTCGTGGTCCCACCTGGTGGACCTCCTTAAGAGAGGGGACCCCTGGCATCCCCTGCCTCCCTGCTCTGCCGGGCTGGGAAAAGACGGTCCGTCAACTTCCTCAGGTTTTGCACAAGGTAGAAAGTTGGCCAAGATCGCAAAACCCTCCCTTGCTTGGCATCCTTCCCTCCGGACGAGCGGCTTGCTGCTGGTCAGCAACACAAAAGGGGTTGTGTGTGTGTGTGTGTCCTCCCTGTAACCTGTTTTACTCTGTCTTCTGTGCGCAGACAAAGAGGCGGCGGAGCGCCTGTCGAAGACGGTGGACGAGGCGTGCTTGCTACTCGCTGAATACAACGGGCGGCTAGCCGCGGAACTGGAGGACCGGCGCCAGCTGGCACGCATGTTGATCGAGTACACGCAGACCCAGAAGGACGTGCTGACGGAGAAGGAGAAGAAGCTAGAGGTGAGCGGGGCGCCCTGCCCACCCTCCTGGCCCCCTTCGCCTTCCGGGCACGGGTAGCCTAGGTGTGGGACGAGTTACGCACACACACCCCATACACACACTGCTTGCAGGAGCACACGGGTCTGGGGAAACGGACTTCCTGGAGGTTCTCTAGGGCTTGTCCTTGAGCGGTCGTGGGCATCCATCACGACTTGAGGACCTGTGGACTTCAACTCCCAGAATTCCTGAGCCAGCCAGCATGTGGTAAGGCCACACCTGGAATCCTGCATCCAGTTTTGGTCACCACCATGTAAAAAAGATGCTGAGACTCTAGAAAGAGTGTAGAGAAGAGCAACAAAGATGATTAGGGGACTGGAGGCTAAAACATATAAGGAAAGGTTGCTGGAATTGGGTAGGTCTAATTTAATGAAGAGAAGGATCAGGGGGGACATGATAGCAGCCTTCCAATATCTCAGGGGCTGCCCCAAAGAAGAGGGAGTCAAGCTATTCTCCAAAGCACCAGAAGGCAGGACAAGAAGTAATGGATGGAAACCACTCAAGGAGAGAAGCAACCTAGAACTAAGGAAGAATTTCCTGACAGAACAATTAACCACCAGTCCTCCAGAAATTGTGAATGCTCCAACACTGGAGGTTTTTAGGAAGCGACTGGACAGCCATTTGTCTGAAATGGTTTGGGGTTTCCTGCCTGAGCAGGGGGTTGGAGTAGATGACCTCCAAGGTCCCTTCCAGCTATTATTATTATTATTATTGTCATTATTATTATTATTATCTGAGAAGAATTTAAAAGAATAAAATCAAGCTCGAAGGGCAAGCTCGGTGGACCAGTGGCTCTTTTTCTATCTTTTTCTCCGTTTTCTATTTTTCTATTTTTCTTTTTCTCTCCGTTTTCTATCTTTCCAAGCAATTCTCCAGCTATCCAGTGATTCAGATAGCTAATTCTTGTCTTTCTCACTTCACAAATATTGACAGATTTCAGTAAACATTGCTAAGCACGTTTGGCGTTTCAGCATATAAAATTCGCCCTTTCACGTTGTTTTAGGTAGGATATGTTCATTTTGAGATTTTTCGTTGAAAAATCCGTTTCCTCAAACCTATTTTTTAAAAAAAATTCTGACTCTTTGACTAACACTTTTAATTTTCACTAGCCAATTTTATTTCCTTTTTTTTTTGTCTCCCCAAAAAATAATCTATTGTTTTATTTATTTTTCTTTTTAAAATGTCTTGTCGATGCAGTACGTCTCAGAAGGGTTGCTAAGCACATGATTGGCTGGCGATCCGAAATGTTAAAATCCAGATTTAGAAGTTGCTGCTGACCTTGAGTGTTTTCTTGGCCGAATGCAGAATCCCTGTTGTTCCCGTAAAATGCCTGCATGGACCCAGGAGGCCTGAAATGGCCCCGAACTCTGGAGCCCCTGGTTGGGACCGCTTTTCCCAGGCATGAGTCATGCCTGAACTCGCTGCTCCCGGCTGGGTGTGGGGGGGGGGCTGCCAGAAAGGAGGGCTAGAGCTGCCTCCCTTAAACCCCATGCAGAGAAGGCAGGGCCAGCCCTGGGAAGGTCCGAAAGGACGTGCTGGAGAAGCTAAGCAACCGTTTAGTCTTTGTGCAGCCAGGTCAAGAAAAATGTCAGAATAGAATAGAATTAGAGTAGAGTAGAATTAGAATTAGAATTAGAATAGAATTACAGAATAGAATAGAATAAGATTTAGAATAGAATAGAATAGAATAGAATAGAATAGAAGATAGTATGGAGTGGAATAGAATAGAATAGAAATAACGGATTGTAGAATAGAATAGAACATGGAATAGAATAGAATTAGAATTAGAGTAGAACAGAATAGAATTAGAGTAGAGTAGAATAGAATGGAACGGAACAATAGAATAGAATAGAATAGAATAGAATAGAATAGAATAGAATAGAATAGAATAGAATAGAATAGAATAGAATAGCAAAGCTGGCTGGGGAATTCTGGGAGTTGAGGTCCACTGGTCTTAAAATTGCCAAGATTGGACAATCCTGTTTTAAATGAAGGGGGCTTTGGTTAACTGAAAATCACTCCACTCTCTCCATCAATTGCTAGCTGTTAGTTTGTGAAAGATAACAGCCCTGAGTGGCAAATCCGTGGAGTGATCTGATTGTTGAACAGAGTCAGTTATATTTTTCAGTCAATCAATCAATCAATCAGTCAATCAATCAATCAGAATAGAGCTAGAAGGTCTTCTAGTCCAGCCCCTCCCTCAAGCAGGAGAACCTATACTGTCTCAGGCAAGTGACTGTCCAGCCTCTTAAAAACCTCCAGTGATGGAGCACCCACGATTTCTGGTGGCAAGCTGTTCCACTGGTTAATTGTCCTCATTGGTAGGAAGTTTCTCCTTAATTCCAGATTGCTTCTCTCTTTGGTCAGTTTCCATCCATTGTTTCTCGTCCTTCCCTCTGGTGCTTTGGGGAATAAATCGACCCCCTCCTCTTTGTGCCAGCCCCTCAAATACTGGAAGACTGCTATCATGTCTCCCCCATTTCTTCTTTTCCTTAGACTAGCCAGACCCAAGTCCCGTAGCCGTTCTTCGTATGTTTTAGTCTCCAGACCTTGCATCATCTTAGTTGCTCTTCTCTGCACTTTTTCCAAACTCTCAACATCTTTTTTGTGATATGGTGACCAAAACTGCTTGCAGTATTCCAGGTGTGGCCTCACTAGGGCTTTATAAAGCAGTATGAATACTTCCCTTGATCTTGATTCTATGCCTCTGTTAATACAACCCAGGATTGTGATAGCTTTTTTGGCTGCTGCTGCTGCACACGGCTGGCTCACGGTCAAGCGATCGTCCACTAGGACTCCGAGGTCCCTCTCCCAGTGGCTGTTTTTGAGCCAGGCCTCGCCCAGTCTGCACTTGTGCCTTTGGGGTTTTTCTTGCCTAAATGTAAGGCTTTGCTTTTCTCCACATTAAATATCATTTAACGGGGCCCATTATTTTTTAATAGAGTCTTTAAAAACCTGAAATTTCCTCATCTGTCACCCTGGACTAGAGCCCCAGGGTGACTCCTGCACTTCTCATGTTTGTCGTACCCGTCAAACGTGTGTGGCCTTTTTTGAGACGTAGTTACTTGGTCCGACTGCATTTTCGCTTGAAGTCGCTTCCTTTTAAGGGGATTTTGAAATCTTTTGTGGATGGAGACCAGCAGTCTGGAAGCAGGGGAGGAATCCGTGGGTGGACTGGTGCCATTCGGGTTTCAGAGGATCTCTGCGTGTTGTGGAGTTTTGCAAACACACACGGGACAAAATCAGCAGGGCTGATCAACATGAAAGAGCTGCAGATCCTGGCAACTCTTTTTCCTGCATGTTGCTGATTGTCAGCTGGGCCTGGGGGAAGAGTTGTTAGTTGCGAAGCTGTGTCCAACCCATCGCGACCCCATGGACCACGTTCCTCCAGGCCTTCCTGTCCTCTACCATCTTCTGGAGTCCATTGAAGCTCCCGCCTGCTGCTTCAGGGACTCCATCCAGCCCCCTCCTTCTCTGTCCTCCCCTTCTTCTCTTGCCCTCCATCTTTCCCAGCATCAGGCTCTTCTCCAGGGAGTCCTTCCTTCTCATTAGGTGGCCAAAGAACTTGAGTTTCAACTTCAGGATCTGGCCTTCTAAAGAGCAGTCAGGGTTGATCTCTTCTAGGACTGACCGGTTTGAACGCCTTGCAGTCCAAGGGACTCACAGGAGTCTTCTCCAGCACCAGAGTTCAAAGGCCTCCATTCTTTGGCGCTCAGCCTTTCTTAGGGTCCAACTTTCACAGCCATACATTGCAACTGGGAAAACCATGGCCTGGACTATACGCACTTTTGTTGGCAGGGTGATGTCTCTGCTTTTTAGTGTGCTGTCCCAGATTTGTTATAGCTTTCCTCCCCAGGAGCAAGCGTCTCTTAATTTCTTGGCTGCGGTCCCCATCTTCGGTGATCGTGGAGCCCAGGAAGATAAAATCTGTCACTACCTCCATTTCTTCCCCATCTATTGGCCAGGAATTGAGAGGGCCGGATGCCATGAACTTTGGGGCTTTCCTTGTTTATGTGGACCGGCTTCTGGCATGCCGTGGCCCGGTACCGGTCCAGGGGCCAGGGCTTGGGGACCCCGGTCTTAAGAAGGTTAAATCTTGGCAACTGAACCAAAGTTTATTAAAACCGTGACCTTTCCTTACTCATCCAAGCAATGTCTTCAATTGAGAAGCCATCCGGATGTTGATGGTCCCCAAGATTTGTGTTCAGAACTGAAGAAGCTTCTGTGGATGAGCAGCGAAACATCTTCAAGGGAAAAAAAAAAACCAAAGGCCAGTTTGCTTTTTGGAAAAAAAGCATGTTCCAATTTTTAGCAGAACCTCCAGATTCAGCCATAGTTTCATTCGTACAGCATCACAGTCTGGTTTGGAAGCATCCCTGCTTCAGACAGGAAGGCGGTGCAGAGAGTGGTGAGGACGGCAGAAACGATCATTGGCTGTTCCCTCCCTCCCATCCAGGACATAGCACAGAAGTGCTGCTTGAGCAGGGTCTGCGTAAGGCAGTGGTTCTCAACCTGTGGGTCGGGACCCCATTTGGGGTCGAACGACCATTTCAGGGGGGTCGCCAAACAACGCAGTCCACCATTTTTCCCCCCTTTTCCTTAGCTGTGCTCCTCCCTTTTATTCTATTGGCTTTTGAAAGCCAAGAGAATAGACTCTCTTGAATAGAGTCTAATTCTATTGGCTTTCCAAAGCCAATAGGAATGGTCCAGGCTGTCTCTGCCCTGCTGAGCCCGCCAAAAGTCCCATTCTGCAAACGGTGCTGCACCAGTTCAGTAGTCATCGACTTACGACCGGTTGAGTAGTCCTCGACTTACAACCGGTTGGGGGTCGCGGCATTAAAAAGTTTGAGAACCACTGGTGTAAGATTATCTGGGACATGCCACATCTTCTTCACTACCTGTTTCCTTCTGGGAGGAGGGGGGTCCGTGGTATCCGTAGCAGAACATCCGGATTCAACCATAGTTTCATTCCATACAGCATTAACCTTGTGAACTCTCAAGCTTCCTCCTTCCGCTATATATTCAAGATGGACAGTATTTAATATTTATTTGCTACGTATATGTAGGGATGTGGGTCTGTACATATGTTGTTCATAGTACGTTTAGGTGTGTGTCATGTATCTGTTGCTCTTCGAGAGCAGGCAACTAAATTTCATTTTTGATGTGTGCCGCTGTGCCCACAGTAATAAAATGTCAATAAAGGTTATCTTAACTACCTTTACGTGCCGTTTTTATCGTTTGGATGTTTCAGGGCACAGTGACCCAGAGTCGAAATGTGAAAAACCAATGAACGAATGTCTTCTCCCTCTTTCTCTCCCCCTCTTCCCCTCCCCTCCCCTCTGCAGGAATACAAGCAGAAACTGGCGCGGGTCACTCAGGTGCGCAAAGAGCTCAAGTCCCACATCCAGAGTCTGCCGGACCTGTCGCTGCTGCCCAACGTCACTGGCGGGCTGGCGCCCCTCCCGTCTGCTGGGGACCTTTTCTCTACTGACTAGGACACGGGGAGGGGGGTCTGCCTCGCCCGCCCACCTGCCCCCCCCCCCAGCAGCAGACCCCTTCGCCAGGATGAGAGATCCTCGCGGGAAGCTGACCTCGGAAGGGACGGCGGGCAGAGACACCCCCGCCGCCGTGGCCCATCTCCATCTCTGCCAAGGCTGCTGCCTGGCCTGGTGACTGGGAGGGGGGGGGGTAGGAAGTGGGCACGGGCACGGAAGGGCACCGCCTTTGTTTCGGGGTGGGAAGCGGACGGGCGTCCTTCCGCAGGAAAATCCACACACCCCCGCGGGCACTTCCAGCAGCCGCAAATCATGTGTGCCCAGAGCCTTTGAAGAATTTGGATCTCTTGTGTAGCTTTGTTTTGTTTTGTTTCCCCCCCCCTCCTGTGTTTGGAAAAAGAAAAAAAAGACTGGATTGTTTTGAGGGGTGGGCCAATTTGGGGGGGGGCGGGGGGCTGTGGGTCAGGGATGGCAGAGGCAGCTGCATGAGGGATCAGCCCGGGGGAGCTTCTTCCCCCCTCTTCACTGGGACAGCCAGAGCACCTACTCTCCCCCCCCCCAGAAATGAGCTCGGGTGGCCCTTCCCCTGCTTTGACCCCTGGGGCCTGGGGCTTAGCAGAAGCCCCTCCTTCTCCCCCTCCCCAGTTTCCCAGGCTCCTCCTCCCGCAGCCTGAAACGGGGCTAAGTGTAGAAGGTTCAAATCCGTGGGCTTTAGGAAAGCGTCTTCCCCCCTCCCCTCCATCTCCAAAGCTGTGAAAGGTTGCCAGTTCGTTCCCTCTCTAGCTCCCAGTCTGTGTGTGTGTGGGGGGGGGACAGGAATAGTCAATGAGTACATTTTCTGCTCCCCCCCTCCCCACAATCAACAACCCAGGCCTTTGGATCCACGCCCAGGTGGGACGAAGCCCTTTCCACTTTGCAACGCAGCCGACATAAAAATGCAAGCATTCGTTTTGCCCCAGGACCCCCACCAAGGAGAGTGATGGGGGCTTTCCTGCTGTTTTTCCAAAGAAAGCAACGGAACGACCCATTCCGCCATCGCTGTGCATTTCCCGGAGGCATCCTCTTGCCCCTTCTTTAGAGTGGGGGGGGGGATGTCTCCAGCCTTGGCAACTTTTAGCACCTGCGGACTTCAGCTCCCAGAATTCCCTGGCATTCATGCATTCCTTTTCATGCCTAGCCCCATTACGGCCTGCTTACTCTCTTGCCATCCTTTCCTCTGTAATCTCTCCACTCTAGACCAGTGTTTCTCAACCTTGACAATTTTAAGGCATGTGGACTTCAACTCCCAGAATTCCGCAGCCAGCAGTGGGAAGGGGCAAAAAAAAAAAAAAAAAACAGGCATGGCTGGCTGTGGAATTCTGGGAGTTGAAGTCTACCCATCTTCAAGGCAGGTTGAGAAACACTATATTCTAGATGATGTAAAGCAGACAATGGGCGCGTTTGCTAAATAACTTAAGCTATGAACAGAAACGTCCCATCCAGATTGGGGTCTCCAAACTTGGTTACTTTAAGACCGGTGGGCTTCAACTCCTGGAATTGGCAAACTGGGGAATTCTGGGAGTTGAAGTCCACCAGTCTTGAAGTGGCCGAGGTTGAAGACCCCTGCTTTAGAAGACTTTTGCTGCTCAAATCGCTTTACTCTCCTTACATAGAAGGGTCGGGCTTTCTGCTTGGTGCCCACATTCAGCCCCCCCCCCATCCCTTTCGGGGAGCTGGTCTGGGCCACGAGTCCCCACGTTCTCCGTCAGCTCAGCCCCACTTGGCAGATGTGGCCCCGAACATCTGGAGGTGCCCCCAGGTGGAGAAGGCAACTTCCGGTGGTCTTTAAGCCTGGAAGCCACTGGGGATGATCCCCTTCCCAGACCCCACAGCAGGGGGGAGCCCCCACTTTGCGCCCGCCGGGTGTGCAAGTGAGCGTGCCTGAATCGCAGCGTCCCACGTCCGGCCACCCCCACGTTATTCCATTTGTGGTTTCGCCCTAATTGAAATCCAAGGGTCGAGGCGGGGGCTGTGGTGGGAGTCCCCCTTTCCCCTCCGCACTGTGTGGTCTTTCGGCTCTTGATCTGATCCGTCCCCCCCCCCCCGCCCCCTGAGGCATTTTCTTACACCTGTACATGAATCAGTTTAGAGATTTAGAGGGACAGGCTGTCCTTTTAGCAGCGGTATATTCTGAAATGTCTCATAAATATATTTTTGAATAAAGAGGGTGTCATTCGGTGGTCGAGAAGCTGCTTCCTGGCGTCCTTTTTTTCCCCCCTCCCTCCTGGAGCAAAAGAGACCCCCGAGATGAAGTCATAACAGGCTTTCAAGATGGAAGACCTGTGGACTTTGATTCCCAGAATTCCCTGGCATTAATGCATTCCTTTTCATGCGCAGCCCCATTGTGGCCTGCTTACTCTCTTATCCTTTCCTCTGTAATCTCTCCACTCGAGAGTGGAAAGGGGAAAAAAACAGGCATGGCTGGCTGAGGAATTCTGGGAGTTGAAGTCCATAAGTTGCCAAAGTTGGACATCTTTGAAACTCAGCCTTTGGGTGGTCTTATACTGAGCGTTTACACCAGTGGGCCAGTGCAGGTAGTCCTTGAGTTACGACCATCATGGGCCCTTACCCATTATCGCCGCAAGTCATTGTAGTCGTTAAGTGAGGCGGGTGATTAACTCGCTCAACGGTTGCTGTAGAGCTCTTTTTCCTCGCACCCCACATTTATTTCATCACTCTTGTTTTCTTTTATCTATTTTATCCTGGCAGGCAATCCTCTACTTACGACCGCTCACGTTGCTAAGCGAGGCATTTGTTAAGCGAGTTTTGCCATGTTGTTAAGTGAACACCTGCAGTTGTTCAGCTAGTAAGATGCTCAGATGTAATTCTATCCTTCCGTGAGGGTCTTCTATTTGAGCAGGGGGTTGGACTAGATGACCTCGGAGCTCCCTTCCAGTTTGGTCATTCTGTGATTAAATGACTCTGGTTTGCCCGTTCACTTTGCTTGTCAGAAAGTCGCAAATGGGGCCTGCGTGAGCCCAGGACGTTGCGGCCATCGTAAATGTGAGGAGTCCGTTACCCAGCATCTGAATTTTGGCCACGTGACCACGGGGGAGGCTGCAACGGTCATCAAACAGCCACATCGGTTTTTTTTCAGTGCCCTTGCAACTTTGAATGGTCACTAAATGAACTGTCATTGTAAGTTGAGGACTACCTATATTTTACTTTGATTTTCTTTGATACGAATCTAAGATGAATCTATATAAGACTGAAATGATGGTCTGTCCATTCTGGAGCAGAAACAGATCTTATTTGATCCCCGTTCCAGCTGCCTGCAGCAGATTTATCTGTCTATCATCTATGTCTGTCAATCTGTTATTGATCTGTCATCTATCATCTATATCAGGGGTCTTCAAACTTGGCCCTTTTATGACTGGTGTGTGCCTGGCTGAGGAATTCTGGGAGTTGAAGTCCACCAGTCATAAAAGGGCCAAGTTTGAAGACCCCTGATCTATATCATCTGTCACCTATCATCTATATCATCGGCCTATCATCTATCTGTCATCTATGTCTATCTATATCCACCCATCTCCTGTCTGTCTGTGTTTCTGCCTGCCTGCCTATATCTATCTATCTATAAGATGATTAGGGGACTGGAGGCTAAAACATATAAGGAACGGCTGCGAGAATTGGGTATGTCTAGTTTAACGAAGAGAAGGACAAGGGGGGACAGGATAGCAGTATTCCAATATCTCAGGGGCTGCCATAAAGAAGAGGGAATTAAGCTCTTCTCCAAAGCGCCTGAAGGCAGGACAAGAAGCAACGGGTGGAAACTAATCAAGGAGAGAAGCAACCTAGAACTAAGGAGAAACTTCCTGACAGTGAGAACAATTAATCAGTGGAACAGCTTGCCTCCAGAAGCAGTAAATGCTCCAACACTGGAAGTTTTTAAGAAGAGACTGGACAGCCATTTGTCCGAAATGGTGTAGGGTTTCCTGCCCGAGCAGGGGGTTGGACTAGATGACCTCCAAGGTCCCTTCCAACTTTACTATTATTATTATTATTATCTATCTTCTATTCTATGTCTATATATCATATCTATCATCTCCACCTATCTACTATCTATCCAACTATCCATCTGTCATCTATTCATCCATCCATCTGTGCATCTATCATCTGTCTATCTATCTCATCTCATCTCATTTCATACCCCAAAGAAGAGGGAGTCAAGTTCTTCTCCAAAGCGCCTGAAGGCAGGACAAAAAACCAATCAAGAAGAGAAGCAACCTGGAATTAAGGAGAAACTTCTGGAATTCCAGTTGCTGGAATTGGGCATGTCTAGTTTAATGAAGAGAAGGACGAGGGGGGACAGGATAGCAGTCTTCCGGTATCTCAGGGGCTGCCCCAAAGAAGAGGGAGTCAAGCTATCCTCCTAAGTGCCTGAAGGCAGGACAAGAAGCAACGGAGGGAAACTAACCAAGGAGAGAAGCAACCTGGAACTAAGGAGAAATTTCTTGACAGTGAGGACAATCAACCATTGGAACTACCTGCCTCCAGAAGGTGAATGTTCCAACACTGGAAGTTTTTAAGAAGAGACTGGGCAGCCATTTGTCTGAAATGGTCTAGGGTTTCCTGCCTGAGCAGGGGGTTGGACTAGATGACCTCCAAGGTCCCTTCCAAATTATTATCATCATCATTATCTCCATCTTCCTCACAGGGGGACTCTGGGCGACATATAATCTCCATATTTATTAACTTTCTAGGTCTCGGGGGCTCTGGTTGGTTTATAATAGCGTAATAAAATAACATAAACACATGAAGAAGAGCACAGATTAAAACAAAGAGTTCAGAACACGATTAAAACTGGTTTGGTCAGCAACCGGCTGGGCATTTCAATCCAGAGCTATTACTTAAGAATGGGGGGACCTTGCTTAGCCAACCCCCCCACCCCCACCCCCCGCTTTGTGGCTGCTGGGACCTAAAGGGCTGTGCAAAAATACTTGTGGCTGATCACGTTGTCTGCACCCAAGCCACTGTGGCTTGGAAACCCCGCTGGGGGCTTTGTGGAGCAAAGCACACGTTTTATTAGCCAACTAGGGGACACCATCTGCTGGAAGGGAGGGGGGTCCATGGGGGAGCAGGAGGAGGAAGCATCTGAGGTCCTTGGTTTCTGAGCTGGGTGGTTTTCTTGCAGACATTTCGTTACCCAACTAGGGAACGTGATCAGTGCTAGAAGGGAGGGGGGTTGCAGGTGGGAGGAGGAGGAGGACAGGTGGGGTCCTTGGTGCTCTCTGAGCTGGGTGGTTTTCATGCAGACATTTCGTTATCCAAACTAGGGTAGGTACCATCAGTGCTAGCGTTACGCTGATGATGTTCCCTAGTTGGGTCATGAAAGGTCTGCAAGAAAACAACCAACTCAGAGAGCACCAAAGACTCCACAGTCCTCCTCCTCCTCCTCCCCCTCTCTGCAAACCCCCTCCCTTCTAGCACTGATGATGTTCCCTAGTTGGGTTATGTAACATCTGCAAAAAAAACCAACGAAGCTCAGAGAGCACCAAGGATCCCAGCTGCCCTCTTCTTCTTCTTCTTCTTCTTCCTCCTCCTCCTCCTCCTCCTCCTCCTCCTCCTCCTCCTCCTCCTCCTCTCTGCAAACTCTCCTCCTATCTGCAAACCCCCACTCCCTTCTAGCACTGATGATGTTCCCTAGCTGGGTTATGAAACATCTGCAAAAAAACAATGAAGCTCAGAGAGCACCAAGGATCCCAGCTGCCCTCTTCTTCCTCCTCCTTCTCCTCCTTCTCCTCCTCCTCCTCCTTCTCCTCCTCTTCCTCCTCCTCCTCTCTGCAAACCCCCCTCCCTTCTAGCACTGATGACGTTCCCTAGTTGGGTCATGAAACATCTGCAAAAAAACAACAAAGCTCAGAGAGCACCAAGGATCCCAGCTGTTCTCGTCCTCCTCCTGCTGCTCTCTCCAAACCTTCCTCCCTTCTAGCACTGATGATGTTCCCTAGTTGGGTCATAAAAGGTCTGCAAGAAAACAATCCAGCTCAGAGAGCACCAAGGGCCCCACAGGTGTTCCCCTCCTCCTCCTCCTCCCAACTGAGCCCAAGAGGCAGTCGCTAAGTGAGTTGCATCCCATTTTATGACTGTTTTTGCCACAGTGCAGCAAATCACTGCATTGTTCAGCAAATCATGGGGTCAGGAGAGTGGCAGTTTCTGGGCACGCTGCTTTCATGCCACCGTCACTGGCCTTGCAACTGGCAGCCGTCATCCTCCTCCCAACACCTTGGAGAGCCAGAATAAATGTGCCACCCTCCTAACACACACACACACACACACACACACACACACACACACACACACACACCCTTTTCCAGCAAAGTTGACCCAGGCAGCTAATCAGTTGCATGACGAATTGAACCTCGGTTTTTTGTATGTGTGTGTGTGTGTGTGTGAGTGTTTCTGCTCTTGCTCCAGTTTGCAAATATTTTATTTCTTTTTCCTTCCAAGTGAGATGCAGAAAACGTTTGTCCCCTCTTTGTCACTGCAGCTCTCTGCTCGGCCGGTCCACGTCACCATCTCTCCACATGGTGTAGCCACAATTTGGGATGTGAAGGAGCTAAATGGCTTTGAACCAGGATTGTGTGTGTGTGTGTGTGTGTGTGTGTGTGTGTGTGAGAGAGAGAGAGAGAGAGAGAGAGAGAGAGAGAGTGTGTGTGTATGTGTGTGTGTGTGAAAGAGAGAGAGAGAGAGAGAGAGAGAGAGATGATAGCAGTCTTCCAGCATTTGAGGGGTTACCACAAAGAAGCAACGGATGGAAACTCATCAAGGAGAGAAGCAACCTGGAACTAAGGAGGAACTTCCTGAAAATGAGAACAATTAACCAGTGGAACTGCTCGCCACCAGAAGGTGTGGGTGCTTCATCACTGAAGGCTTTTAAGAAGAGATTGGACAGCCATTTGCCTAAAATGCTTGAGCAGGGGGCTGGACTAGGAGACCCACTAAGGTCGCTTCCACCTCTGTTATTCTAGTTCAGTGTGTCTCAACCTTGACCATTTTAAGGCAATGCTGGCTGTGGAATTCTGGGAGTTGAAGTCCACATGCCTTAAAATGGTCAAGGTTGAGAAACACTGTTCTAGTTCCTTTCTGCTTCTCCAGATATGGGGCTGATGGTGGCCTCCTCCCCCGTATGTTCAAAAGCAGATGAGGGAAGTGGGCCAGGCAAGCTGGTGGGTCCAGGAAAGC